TGTGTGTGTGTGTGTGTGTGTGTGCACGGCTGGTGTGGGGGCCTGGGGTGTGAAGGCCATGGGTTTGACTGGGGATCTAATGGCTGTGTGTGTGTGTGTGCACGGCTGGTGTGGGGGCCTGGGGTGTGAAGGCCTTGGGTTTGACTGGGGATCTAATGGCTGTGTGTGTGTGTGTATGTGTGTGTGTGTGTGTGCACGGCTGGTGTGGGGGCCTGGGATGTGAAGGCCGTGGGTTTGACTGGGGATCTAATGGCTGTGTGTGTGTGTGTGTGTGTGTGTGTGTGCACGGCTGGTGTGGGGGCCTGGGGTGTGAAGGCCGTGGGTTTGACTGGGGATCTAATGGCTGTGTGTGTGTGTGTGTGTGTGCGCGCGCGCACCGTGCGTGTGCATGCAGGGTGGTGGGGGTATTAACTCCTAACTATAACTTACTAACTTCCTTCTGGGAGGGTGTCCAGCATATACCTACCTAAGACTTCCTCCCCCAGGCCTACCATCCTGGGGTTGAGTTCACAGGCTAGGAGTGTCCCCCTCCTCCCCCCCCCCACCTTGTCCTTTCCACACCTGTTCTCTTCTGCACGCAGTGGTGGCACCTCAGGGCCTGCAGCTGCTCAAGAGCACCGAGCATTCCCTGCTGGTGAGCTGGGAGCCCACCAGTGACGTGGACCACTACCTGCTCAGCTACTATCCCCTGGGGGAGGAGCCCTCCCTCAAGCAGATCCAAGTGCCCAAGGAGCAGCACACCTACGAGATTCCCGGCTTGATGCCTGGCACCAAGTACATCGTCACCCTGCGCAACGTGAAGAAAGACACAGCCAGCAGTCCGCAGCATCTGCTGGCCACCACAGGTAAGGCGGGCCCCATGCCCGAGGGCTCCAGGAAAGGCCCCAAATACCCTTCTATGTATAGCGCGGTCTGTTGCCCCACTTTGGGGTTTGAAAGCCAGAGCTGTAGCTGGAGAAGGCTCCAGTTGTCTCTCCCTTCTCCTTGCTTCCCGCTTAATGGGTCCTCAAAGCCAAGGGTGGCCAGCATCTAGATGGAGACTCAAGGAGGCCTTCTGTGTCCCTTTGGTGGCTCCACTGTCACACACAAGCAAAGCATATGCCTGTGTCCTATCCCTTCACCGAGTCTCCAAGGCCATTCGGCAAATTCAGGCCAGGATGTGTGGAAAGCTTCAGAAGCCATCTGTAACAATTAGATGTTTCTCCGCAGGGAAGAGAGGGCTCAGATGGGGTAAGTGAAGAAAGTATAAGGGAAAAGTTGTTTATGAAGACATAGAGGTGGCCATTTTCCCGAGCCTACTCAGTTTGAGGTTAGCTAGTCTACGTTCAAAAGTAAATCATCTATTTACTTTCATTTCAAGATAGCTGCCAAGACCATATAGTTTTATAATGAGAGTCCTGGTTATTCAAGAGACTGAGACTTTGAAGATCAGTGTTTAAAGCTAGCTCCATGCTGAACATTCTGTAAGACTCCATCTCTAGTCAATCAGAAAAAAACAAAATGCTGGGTGCCAGCTGTTAGTAAGTATAAGGCCCCTGAATCCAAGTCCCTGGAATCAGGAAAAAATAAATAAAAGAATGAGTCAAAGTGACGCCATTTTATTCATTCTTTGTACGTTGTTCCGAAGTTCTTTAGGTGAAAACAAACAAACAAACAAACAAAAAAGTTTGAGCCATGTTGACATACCTCTCTACAGGTATGTCCCCTGACACTTGGGAGATTGAAGCAGGAAGTTTATGAGTTCAATATCAGCATGGACAATTTTTCCCTCCTTTTAGGAGCTTGCCCCTAGAAGTAACTGCTTGGTGGCCCAAACAACTTAGAAAATCCTTATTTCCCCATGAAAACTCTTAAAACAGCTTAAATTTTCAAGGGTGGCTAAGGACTTACCATGTGCCAGGTACATGATTAAAAAAACAAAAAAATGCCCCACATCGACCCCTCTTTGCCCTAAAGTCCTTGAGGAAGAGGCTGGCAGATCCGGGGGGTGGAATATGGACTTACAGTGGTCACTGCAGAAACATATGGCTGTCTTTTTTTAATTGTGAGAAAATGGTGGGCAGTGTTGAAAAGCGTCAAAAGAGGCTTGGCAGTAGAGGCTTGGCACCATTTGTGATTGCCTTTGTCAGCACCCTCCAGCCCAAAATGCTAGAAATAGCCCCTTAGTTGAACCGGGTCGGTTCCTTTCAATGGGAAGATGCACATGTGGAAAAAGGTGTGGTTTTGCAATAACAGAGTGAAAGAAAGGACATGTTATAGATTTCAGATTTGGGCTAGATAATTCAGGAGAAGCTTAAGGAAAGCACAGAGTTGCTTTGGATCGGATACTCTCAGAAATGGGGATAATTCTGTGGTTGGCTATCTTCACGAACCTTTTCTAGCAAGAAGACAGACTAGAGGGAGGTTAGAGCTGTGATTGGAAAGAAGAAGCCATGTGTTCGAGTCAGGAGTGGGGATGCTTCGTCACCTGTGTGAGCTGTAATCCTGTTTGTGTCTGGGGATAGATATGGCCTTAGAATGGCCTTGTTTTGTCTTGATTTAGGGTGGTCCTCTTGTTTGATACTAACATTCTGTGAAATGCTTTGTGTCCATGGGACAACAGCAAACCCTAGCGGTGAGAACCAGGCCAGGTTAGCTGCTCTTGGTGATTGCATCTTTCTACAGATAGGCGAGTGTCCAACCTCTGAGGGGAAGACAGGGACACCTCTTCTGAGAGTCTTAGCAACTCTTCTTGATGTCTTGGATGAAAGACCTATAAAGCCTCGCTAGTGTGAAGCTTGTCATTCTGTCTAATCCGAGCCAAGTTAAATACAATCTTTCCTGCCCGTCAAGGATAGCTCAGACCAAGCAGTTCGGAGCATTTTTATCAAGCCCTTGCCTTTTCATTTGTGAATCCCTCCATGTTCTCTGAAGCCTTGCAGGACTCATTTCACGATCCTTGAGTCACCTTTGCTACTCTACTCTTGACTTTCATCTTTGAGAAGAGTCTAAAAACAGAAGCCAGGGTTCTGTCAGGTGGAAGCTGGAGGTGAGGGGCAGACGAATGGCTCTGGGAGGCTCTTTATCCACAAGATGCTCAGATCGCAAGCGCCTGGAGATCACCAAGTCAGATCACAAGCGCCTGGAGATCACCAAGTCATACCCTGCCTGTGCGTGTGCTCCCTGTCCCACAAATGGCCCACTGGCATTGGATAAAAAGGTCTCCACCCACCGACGCAAGGCTGAGAGTCTGGGGAACTTATCTTCCCTAATCCAGACTTTAAGGACAGGCTCTATCAGTCTGAGATCTAGCCAGTGGCATTTGAAGTGCTCCCCAGAGACCCCAGTCACCCTCCAAAGGTTCTTCCCTTAAGGCGCTATCAGTGACCCATTCCTTTCCAAGTGGAAGGAAGAGAGAACATTTAACCTAAGTACTTTGCTGTGAGCAAAGTCATGTGGTAACTCCTTCTAGGACAAGATAAAGCAGCATGAGTACCACAGGAAGGATACATAGAAAGACCAAGTTAAAATGCACTCCCTTTAGTTAAGTGCCAGTGGCTCATGGCTGTAGTCCTAGCTGTCAGAGAATTGCAGTTTGAAGCCAGCCTGGAGAGAAAAGTCCTTGAGACTCCACCCCCAGTTCATCAACACAAAAGCCGTGCTGGAGGCATGGCTCAAGTGGTAGAGCTCCAGCTTTGAGCAATCAAGCCAAGCAAATTCAAGGCCCTGAATTCAAGCCATGGTACCAGTCAAAAGAAAAAGAAAAACACCTACTTTATAGATTTGCCTTGGGTTAATTCATATAGAAGAATTTGAGAGTCAAAGGCTATAATTTGGAAAGTGGAAGAAGGAACTTACAGCATAAACATACTAAAAGAAATGGAAATGCATTTCCTCAACTTTACGTGGAAAGGCTTAGAAGTCTCTTCTGAGGATGGGGACTCCATAGCCAGCCAAAGGGGGAGCAGTAGTGTAGACTAGCTGGGCCTCGAGCTGGGCTGTGTGGATACTGGCCTGAGAGGCTTGGCCAGAGTTTAATTAGCAAGGTAGTGTAACCTGCCAGGACTTGGGGGGTGGGGGGTGGGGAGAGGAACAGAGGCTTCCCAGGAAGACAGACTACCCTCTGTGGAAAATCTGAAGACTAACAGTGAGTTCCTATATGGGCAGCTCTAAGTCCCTTGTTAAGGACTATGTCCTGGGCCAAAACCAGCTCTCAGTGTGTCAAGAAGAGCAGCTGACTTGGTACCCAATGGCCTGTTCCAGACCTGTGGGACCGCAGCTCTCCATGGCTTTCTCTTACCCTCTGTGTCCCTGCCTAGATCTTGCTGTGGTAGGCACTGCCTGGGTGACAGAAGAGACTGAGACCTCCCTGGACGTGGAGTGGGAGAACCCCCTGACGGACGTGGACTACTTCAAGCTGCAGTATGGCCCCTTGACAGGCCAGGAGGTGGCCGAGGTGAATGTGCCCAAGAGCCGTGACCCCAAGAGTCGATATGACATCACGGGTAAGAGCTAGCCCTGGGAAGGCGAGGGGCTTGCTGTGGGTGCTGGGGTGGTGGGGGTGTGCACTGCGTCCTAAGCCTTAGAAATCACACTTGAACTCCAAAACTGTCCTATATGGAGCCTACTTAGAAGGCCTTCAGACACTCCTCGGCATCCCAGAGCACTCCACTGAGACATTCCAAAATGTCCTCTCTAGTCAGTGCACTCTCTTGTTTTAGGATGGATTTGATGATGTGCAGACATTCCATTTGAAGGTGTGTGTGTGTGTGTGTGTGTGTGTGTGTGTGTGTGTGTGTGTGTGTATGTTGGGCCTGAGGTGGGGACTCCCTGGATCACCTGGCTCAGATGCCTGAGCTGGAATTCAGAAAAGGGGATTCTGGAAAGTCTGTGCATATTCAGGGACCTCTTTAAGAGAAGGAACATGCCGTGGTGAATACCCAGTTAGGCACAGGGCTGTGGAGCACGCTGGGGTGAATGAGGGACTTGGCGGCTGGCTGGCTTCATGGCAAACCCTCCTGCTGTCCACTCTTCAGATTCTTTCTTGAGAGCAAGCATCTCTTATGCTGGCGTTTGTTTCCCGTTTGCCACTGGAGCCTGGATATTAGTGCTATGAAGAACCACCGTTCATACTTCATGCAAGAGACAAAGGAAAAGGAAAGAGGAGGGGAGGGGAACCTAGAAAGATTATTCCTAATAGTTACAATGAGGAGATAGAAAGTAGTGAGAGAAGATTGATTGTTAGAAGCAGGAAATCATGGAGGCTAAGACTAAATCTGGAAAATAAGTGCTAGATGGCCCAGCCAGAGACAGCAGGTTCCTGGACTTTATGCCACCTGTTCCAGCCCTCTTCTGTCCAGGAACCCTTCCTCGAGCCCTCATGTTCCACCCCTGCAGCTCTTCCTCCGCCTAGACTGTTAGTCTTGTGCAGAGAGAATATTACCCATCTCGCCCTCACAAGAGAGATTCAAAGGTGAACAGGGCTGGTTGTAGGGTCTGGAGCCTGTCCTCGCATCCACACTGCCTGCTTGTTTTTAGGTCTGAAGCCTGGGACAGACTATAAGATCACAGTTTTTCCCATGAGAGGCGGTCTGGAAGGCAAACCGATTCTCCTGAATGGCAGGACTGGTAAGAGCTACTTGGTGGCACTGTGGATATTTAACGATGTTTGTACTCTCTTATTTCTCATAGCTGACTCTTGTGTGGGTAAAATTCTGCCATTCATGTGTGGAGTTTTCTGTCCCTTTGTATAGAGACAACTACACAGGGAGGGGGGTCAAAGGAGAGGAGGCAAACTCCTTTTTCAAATTTCTCTTGCCATACAAAATCTTCTCCAGGACCTCAGAGTCAAGGAAAAGGACAGAATTCTGACATATTTCTATTTATTTTAGTTGTTTCAATCATGGGGTTATTCTTCTAAGTTGTTTTTATCTTTGAGCTAGGCACAAAACTCCAAATTACCTAGGGACAAGTGAACTATAATGGTGTTTCTTATTGGAATTGTATTTCCCCTCCCCCCCCCCCCTGAGGTCTACACTCAGGCAATCTGCAGTGAAATGTCAGGAGATGTTAAAGACCCTGGTGTGGGTAGAGTTAGAATTTGCATATTGAGAAAATTTATGACAAAATTCTGAAAATCAGTAATTTGTAATTGATCGATCAGAAAGTAATCGGAAAGCATACCTATGACTTCAATTAGCTTAAGTTGAATTGTGAACCTCTTGAAATAAATCTGTGCCTCCTGCCTACTCAGGATGGAGCTGTAATCTAGACTACAGTGGAACAGGTGGAGTCTCATGCTCAGAGCCAGCAGAGGAGGGATCTTTGAATCTGAGTCAGTCTTTCAAAGTGATTTAGTTCTAGGCTGGGAATGTGGCTTAGTGGCAGAGTGCTTGCCTAGCATGCATGAAGCCTTGGGTTTGATTCCTCAGTACCACATACACAGAAAAAGCTGGAAGAGGTGCTGTGGCTCAAGTGGTAGAGTGTTAGCCTTGAGCAAAAGAAGCCCAAGATCAGTGCCCAGGCCATGAGTTCAAGCCCCAGGATTGACCAAACAAACAAAAAAGTAATTTAGTTCTTCACAACTCAGTGCTAGAAATGGCTAGTTGGATGAGTGAGGTGCTATGGGGTGAGAATTGAACTCACCATCTCAGCTGCTGCACAGTGATAATGTCACCCATCCTTCTGGGCTCTGCTATACCCAGGCTTCTCAACTGAAGCCTCAATGCCCATATGAGATGCCAGCCATCTCTGCGTGAGTTCCCAGAGCATTTAATTGCTATGCAGCCTTGCATTGCTAGTTAACCTTTCAAGTACATTATTCCAAGTAAAATATTAGCACCCAGGAAGTGTTTTTTGTTGTCAAATTATATATTCTCAAAGCTGGGTGAGATATTTTTATTTGACTGCAAATAAGTCTGTGTGTTCTACTCATGTAAAATGAAAAGATACTGTAATTTCTAAGGTAAAAAATTATTGTCAAACCTGTCTAGACTGTTCATTAATTTAATAGAAAACAGGGTCTGTTTTCTCCAAAGGTTTTTTTTTCTTCTTTTTTTTGCATTTCACAAGATGGAAAAAGGCAGTGGAATTTAAGAATAGTATAAGCACAGCCAGGGATAAGGACACAGTTCAGGATTTTCCATTTAACCAGTCACTCAGTGGAACTTGTTAAATCAAAACCCTTGAGACAGAAGGATATGTAAATAAAAGTTTATTGAGCTGTTACAGCTGCTAGCCAGAAGGACAGAGCTGGTCCTTGGACAAGTTCCTCTAACTACTGCCAGCAGCTAGGCAATTGGAAATATGCCTGAGGGGCCTAGAGCCAAGGGTAATTTTAGGCAGTTTGGGGAAGGAAAGCATAATTTCTTTACATTGACTGTAGATAAAAGGCATGAGATTATGCCAAGCAGGGAAAGCTTTGAGTTAGAAAGGCTAGCCATAAGAAGTGCTTGTCGCTTCCTGGCGGGTTAACAGTGCTGAAAGTTTATAAGTAGATTGGGCATGGTGGTCCCTGAAGTGAGGGAACTGGAATTGGAGCCAAGGTTTCTAGATACATCCAGCTGACCCAGTCTTATTTTTGTTCGCCCTGTTAGCTGATCAACTTCCCTCATCCCTTACCCTCTCTACCCTTCAGCCTTTGTAATTTAATTGAGGATATCTCAGGATTTTTCTTTTATCAACCTAATCTCAATGGAAAAGAAAGGGCTAACAGAAAACCCTCCTCCAACCCATTAAAGTGTGGAATGCCTCCTTGAAAGGCGCAGCTTCAGAAGTGGGTCAAGTTCAAGAGCTGGGAGCTGAGGCTGACCAATGTCTTCAGAAGGGATGGGCCTAGACTTCACTTTACATGGCAGACCAAGCCAGGACTTGGTGGTACAGGCCTGTCTTCCTGATACTGGAAGGGCTGAGGCAGGAATGTTGAGGAGATCGATGGCAAATCCTTGGTCCCACAAAGAATGCATGGGTGGTCACACCTAGAGGCATCTTTAGCAGAGTGTGTTTAAGACAGAATCAACCATAAAGCAATAATGCACTCTCAAAGGAAACTATTTAGAACTATTAAAGTGGGATGTTTGGCAGAATGTACCCAAATGTGATCCTGCACCCATTTCCTTCCCCATCTGTCTACCCCAAGTCAGAAGAATGGAGAGTTCAAGGCCAATCTTGGCTATCCAGTGAGACCCTTTTGCAAAAAGAAAAAGAAAAAGAAAGGAAAGCCGACCCTAACCAAGAAGCAATGAGCTGGTCTCCACCCAGCACGTCCCTTTCCAGGCTCCTTCATGTTCCAAGTTGAACTGTCAACGTTCAGAACTTATGTACAATCATCCAACCGAACACCGTGGGTGAAAAATAACAACAACCTCCATAATTTGAGTAACTGCTGTGAAACTTCTGGGCCTTATAATAGTATTGCAAGCATAACAGGTTCTTAGAAGTTGCTTTTGCTAAAAGCACTGACTCACTACTTGGGCTTGCCTAATGTCCAACAAATAACAAAAAGCAGGACAAAAACTTAGCATCTCTGCCTCCATTTTTCATCTTTCTCTTTTGCTCTGAGCCATTCCCTCCTGCAGTTTCCTTGGATTCCAGAAATACCAGGTCTGTTGGACGAACATCTTTTGACAAGAGTCAAATCTGCCTCCATCCCCAGGCACCAATGACTTTCTCCCCAGTGACCAGACCTTCCTGACCAATCCTGAGATAAAGATCCTGCACATCACCATCTGACTGAGTCTGCTTAACTATGCATGTGTCCTGTCCCTTCCTTACATAAGCATGTCTGTACCTTTTGAAGACCGGCTTGGGGACAACGAACTCCTCTAACTGTCCTTCCCAGCATGGCTACATTCAATTAAATCTCCTTTCTTTGCCTTTTATTACTACTCATCTCTCTAATTGGCATATTGGGATGGGTGCCAAGCCTTCTCTTTTGTATCTCTTGGAGCTGGAGTTCTTGCCCCCAAAACTCCAGTAACCTAAGTATTGTTATTGCCATTTTACATATGGGAAAATGAATGCTTACCAAGTTTAAGACACTTAGGGTGAACGGATGAGTGGCTGAGTTGCCACTTGGATCCAAATCCAAATCAAGAACTTTTGTAGAAGTAGAGAAGAATAGCAGCAAGAGGGATTGGTCACTTTCCATTGTGGCCATTATGGAAAGATGGCCACGGAGGTCTATGCAAACATGACCACAAGAGGCCGAAGCACAGGAGGGACCTGTTCTGGGAACTCACCTTCAGATGGGTGGCGTAGATCCATCATGGCCCTCAGCCTCATACCCCTGTAGAGTTTGCATTTGACATCATTTTTCCACTGCTCAACAGATCAATTCACAGGTGACCACCATGAATGTGGAATAATCAGGTTTTGCAATTTCCATCTCTTTGAACAAGGCTTACTAGTATTCTAACATAGGTACTCAGTGGTGGCCTACGAAATCTTACAAATCTTGCCTTGAATCTCTCTGACTTTGACTGGCTTGAGAAAGTTCTACCAGAGCTGCCAACGTCTGGAAAGTAGGAAGTTGCAGGTGTATGGTGAAGAGGAAGTTGGAGGCAGGCCACTGCGGCTACTGGAAAAAGTACTTAATGGCCCTGACATTCTTGGTAGAGAGGGAGGTTTTGTCTCACAGAGGTGACCTTTTCTAGCAATCTGCCATATCATATTGTGCTCTCCTTTTCTTGTACCTCAGCATTTGGCTACTATCCTTGTTACAGGCTGAGAATGACCACGGAGAACAGTGAAGAGACTCTTTATGGCTTAAGCAATGAAGCAGTTAAGAGAAAGGGCATTGGAAAGGAGCAAAGAGCTCTAAGTTCTAGGCTGCTCTGAATCTAATTGGCTCTGTGGGCTTGGAGAAGTCACAACTCCTTTCTGGGCTAAACTTCCAAGTCTCCTACAACTCTGGCATGCTATGTTCTATATTTAGTTTCTATTCACAGCCAAGAAGCCTTTTTTCTGGCTCTACTCTTACCAAACCCAGGCCAGGAAAACCCATCCCGAAGATAAACCAGCATCTGAGCGAAGAGTACTGTGAGAGAGGGGCTTTCCTCACTGGCCAAAGAGGAGAGAATTGGGAACTTTGTCTTACAAGTCAGCTTCTCAGCTCTGAGGAGTTGATGGGCTACAGATCTAAAATATGAATAATAAAGGAGAGAGCTAGGCTAATATAGAGGAGGGATATTCATGCCTTTGCTGGAAATGGGCAGAGATCTTCTAGGAACTTAGAGACCATCTTGTTTTCCTTTTTTGTTTTTGGTTTGGTTGGTCCTGGGGCTTGAACTCTGGACCTGGACACCATCCCTCAGCTCTTCAGCTCAAGGCTAGCGCTCTACCACTTGAGCCACAGAATCACTTCCAACTTTTTCTGAGTTGTTTATTGGAGATGAGTCTCATGGACTTTCCTGCCTGAGCTGGCTTCAAACCATGGTCCTCAGATCTCAGCGTCTGGAGTAGCTAGGATGACAGGTGTGAGCCACCCATTCCCGGTTAGTGAGGATGTTCTTGTAGTCTTATTTTTCTAGTCCCAGTTCATTCCTTATTTCCCCAGATGGAGATAGGGCCTTTGGAGGGCTCTCCACATCCCTTCCTTAGAAAATGCAGAATTATTTCTTATACAGAAAGGACAAAAGGGTAGGGAGGGAATCCTTATTGTTACGCATGTTTTCTCCTGAACATGCTCTATGAGCCTGCTCATTCTCCTCACAGAATGTGGCCGTTTATCAGCAAGGGATACTCAGTGTTCCAGAGGCCACAGGCCAGGACCATTTTCTTTCCTCATTTGTCTCTCAAATTCTACTGCTGCTGAATTTCAGATTATAATAACTTCTCACAGCATACTTTAGTTTACTTACAAACTATGATCAGTATCAGTAGTGGCTTCATAAGAACTGATTGATGATAGTGGTACTTAGGATACAGTGGTATAACACAGAACTATGTGATGTGCTAGAAAGGAAAGAATATTTGCCCATACTCCAGCCCAGCCTTGAGTTGGTTATCTCTTTCCTTAGCCTCTAAACTGCTGGGTTTCAGGCACGTGCTATCATGCCCAGCTTGTTGTTGTTGTTGTTTTTTAAAGTAGACAGCTGGGCATGTTGGCATACACCAGTAACCTCAGCATTTCAGAAGGTGAGGCAGGGGAATGTGAGTTTGAGGTTAGTCTTGGCTACATAGCAAGACCCTGTGGAAAAACAAAAACAAAACAAACAAAAAATGTCAAAAAAGCTAAGGCCAGTTGCTCATGCCTGAAATTCTAGTGACTCAGGAAGCTGAGATACAGAGGATTGTGGTTTGAGGCCAGTCTGGGCAGAAAAGTCCATGACATTCCATCTCCATAATAACAAGTAAAAGGCAATGTGGAGATATGGCTCAAGTGGTAAAATGCCAGCTGAGAAAGCAAGCCAAGCAAGCACAAGGTCCTGAATTTAAACCCTTGCACTTCCCAAACAAACAAACAAACAAACAAACACAAAAAAACAGACTCAAACTTCAAACAAAACAGGGGTGAGGGGGTGGAGAGAGAGACAGAGAGAGACAGAAAGACAGAGATGAGGGTGAGGGAGATGGAAAAAAAGAACAAAAATCAGAGATGTGCTGGGATAGGTGGCTCACACCTGTAATCCTAGCTAATCAGGACGCTGAGATCTGAGAACCATACTCTAAAGCCAGCCTGCATCGGAAAGTACATGAATACTCTTTTTTTTTCTTTGTCAGTCCTGGGGTTTGAACTCAGGGCTGGGCACTGTCCCTGAGCTTCTTTTGCTCAAGGCTAACACTGTACCACTTGAGCCACAGCACTACTTCCCACCTTTTCTGTTTATGTGTTACTGAAGAATCAAACCCAGGGCTTCCTGCATGCTAGCCAAGCACTCTACCACTAAGCCACATTCCCAGCCCACATGAGTAACCTTATCATCTCCAATTAACCACCAAGAGCCCAGAAGTAGAGCTGTGGTTTAAGTGGTGGAGTGCTAGCCTTCAACACAAAAGCTCAGGGACCATGCCCAGGGCCTGAGTTCAAGTCCCAAGACTGGCACAACAAAAACCCACAAAAGCACAACAAAACAAACAAAACCAGAGATGCCAGAGCCCCTCTAAAGTGGAATCTCTGGCAGGTACTGAGTACCTGCTCAGTGCTGATCAAGTCTGAAAACCCCAAGGGTTAGCAATGGATTTCTAAGATCAAGAACGGAGGCTGTATTATTGGGAACTACATGTACATCTATGATATGACTGGCATATTGTCCTGGGTTGGCATGGATTTTATTAATTACTGCAAAATGGCATTACATTCCCTGGCATGTAATAGATGCACAATGAGTTGTGAAACAAATGAACTATGCTTTGAAAATTTTTCTTTGGAAATAGAAAGGAACTTTATAAAGTGCCAGGTCTAGAAACTGTAGTTTGGAAGGACTCTACAGGAGAAGGATTTTGTTGTTGGTGGTGTTGGTGGTGGTGGTTGTAGGGCTTGAGTTCAGGGCCTTGGCACTTTCCCTGAGCTTTTTTGCTCGAGACTAGCACTCTACCACTTTGAGCCACAAGTCCACTTTCAGTTTTCAGGTGGTTAATTGGAGATAAGAGTCTCACAGACTTTCCTACCAGTCTGGCTTCAAACTTCTGATCCTCAGATTTCAGCCTCTTGAGTAGCTAAGATTGTAGGCATAAGCTGCCAGAACCTGGCTAGAAGAAGTTTTGATTGGAAGAGGAATTTCAGGAATTCAATCTGGGTACCTAAGGCAAACACCTTGAAGGAGTTATCCTTCCCAGGGTTCAATCTAAGAGTTTCCCCTAATGGGTTCAAGTAATTCGAAAATCTGTTGCTTGTCCCAATGAAGGGTTTAAACAGAAGCCAGTTACCCCTACCTCCCCTACCAGCTTGTATTATGTAGACTACTGAGCTAGGTCACACAAATTAGATTTAAAGCATCCATGATGTTGACCCGCCATTTTTTCCCCTCCCCTTGTGTTTCTTTATGAAGAAATTGATGGTCCAACAAATGTGGTCACTAATCAAGTGACAGAAGACTCAGCGGCAGTGTCCTGGAAGCCCGTGAGGGCTGACATAGACAAGTATGTGGTACGCTACATCGCTCCTGACGGGGAAACCAAGGAAAAGGCGGTATCCAAGGACCAGAGCAGCACCGTCTTGACCGGCCTGAAGCCAGGAGAGGCGTACAAAGTCTTTGTGTGGGCTGAGAGGGGCAACCAGGGGAGCAAGAAGGCGGACACCAAAGCGCTCACAGGTAACAGAAGAGGAAGACACGCCAGGCTCCTTCAGGGCAGGGAGAAGATGGATGTGGCGCTGGCATCGCTGTTTTGTGTGCAGGGGTAGAGGATACTTGCAAAAGCAATTTTGGATTTCACAATTATGGATTCCCCCCCCACCTTTTAACCATAAATGGAAGGAACTAGACTTTTTATTTCATATACAAGGGCATACTTATTTGAGCTGGAATTCAACCCTATCAGAGCGAAGTAACACTTTCTAATTTTCTTGTTTTTGAGTATGTAGCTAGAATCCCACCTACTCTGGAGGCAGAAGGATCGTGAGTTCAAGGTCAGCATAGGGAGTTAGTGTGATCCTGTTTCAAAAGCAAGCACAAAGTGGTAAAGACCTAGCTCAATTGGCAAAGGACTTGGGTTCAATCCCCGGTATCCACAAACAAAGGAACAATAACAGACAGCAGGAGCTGGATTAAAGGAAAAGGGAGTTGTGGTGAGTACGGTGCGGTATTGCACTGGAGGGGAGGTGGTTAGGCATGGAGCTGAACTCTGGTAGAATGAAGGCAAAGTTCGTGGTCCATGTCTATATGGTGTTGTAAAGTGAAAAGTGGAGAAGCCACATTTCATTCTTATTTTTATTTTGTTGGTCGTGGGGCTTGAACTCTGGGCCTGGCGCTGTCCCTCAGCTCTTCAGCTCAAGGCTAGTGCTCTACCATTTGAACCACAGCACCACTTCTGGCTTTTTCTGCTGATGTGGTGCTGAGGAATGGAACCCAGGGCCTCATGCATGCAAGGCAAACACTACCACTGAGCCACCTTCCCAGCCGGGAGAAGCCACATTTTGAGAGGTCGAACTTTGGAGTCTTTATTGGAGCACTAGTTGTCTGCAGGCAGCCAGTTGCTACATAGGTCTGCAAATACACTTTACACAGTTAGGAAACAGGCCAGAGAGGAAAGAAAGAACAAAACCAATGCCAATCAACCAATTCAACTCCAACGGAGAGCTGAAGTGGGAGGCCAGGCGACTGTAGAGCAGCCAGGAGACAGGAGACAGGATGCTAACACTGAGACATGTGGCATGGGGTAATGGCTCCCAGTGCTGGTCTGGGCCTAAATGGGGTCTGGGATGGGGGCAGGGCACAGGAAACTCCCAGTCCTAGGCACCGGACTGACAGGTTCAGTAGCCTATCATCCAAGGGCCCGCCCCTGCCTCCAGGGATTCAGGCAAGGCCATCACCTGGGAGGTGAGGGCTTTACCTTCTCCCACCATGAAGACAAGATGCCAGACCCTATCATCCATCATGTGGCCAAGATGGCACTGGCCAGACCTGGTCTCCCTACTTCAATGGTATTCATAGTCCTCTGATTAGAGAAGACCATGAAAAACATAAAATACAGTGAGTTATGTACTACAGATACCAAATTTTCTTGGCGCTGTGGGGACCTAATAAGTAGATACCCATTGGGTTGTCAGCGGAGGTGACACCTGAATGGAACTCCCACCATTAGCAGTGGAAGTAGCATATACAAAAATTTCAGGGAGACTAATGGGGCAGGGTAGACCTTTTTAAGTATTGTTCATGGTGGGCAGGTGGGCAGATGGATAGGTGGTACAGTAGGGTAGGTTGAGGCTAGAGTGTTATTGTCAGCTCAGAGTCCCAGGAGCTAGGTCATTTGTCCTTACGTGAAGCGTGTTCTGTTTTTGTTTGTTTGTTTGTTTGTTTTTACTGGTCCTGGGGCTTAAACTCAAGGGTCTGGGTGCTGTCTCTAAGCCTCTTTGTGCTCAGGGCTAGAGCTCTACTACTTGAGCCACAGCACCACTTCCAGCTCTTTCTGAGTGGTTTATTGGCAATAAGAATCTCACAGACTTTTCTGCCCAGGCTGGCTTAGAACCACGATCCTCAGATCTCAGCCTCCTGAGTAACTAGGAGTAACTGGTATCCGGCTGACTCCGTACTCTCTAAGACCAGTCTTTGCATGTGGCTGTGCATGGCACTGAGCTGGTTTACCATGCCTGGCAAGAGGAGGTGTGCAGTTTGAAATGCATTTGCTTCTCAGGAAGTTCAGTTTTACAAGGAACTGACTTAAACTTAATTTGTTTGTGTGTGTGTGTGTGTGTGTGTGTGTGTGTGTGTGTGTGTGTATGGGTGTTGGGTGCAAACATGTGCATGTACACATTGGTCTTAGAGCCTGAACTCAGGGCCTAGGCACTGTCCCTGAGCTTTTTCAAATTTTTTTTTTTTTGGTCAAAGCTAGAGCTCTACCACTTGAGTCACAGCTCCACTTCTGGCTTTTTTTTGTTTGTTTGTTTTTTGAGTAGTTAGAGATAAGAATCTCACAGACTTTCTGGTCTGGATTGGCTTTGAACCATGGTCCTCAGATCTCAATCTCCCGAGTAGCTAGGATTACAGGCATGAGCCACTTAGAGCCTGGCTCTAAGGATCTTATTTTTAAAACATGGTAATAAAGGCATCGTTTCTATCTACCAAGTTACTTGGGTTTGGACTTGCTAAGGGTTTGCTCTTTTGAGGAGAAGATGATCATTCAGGTGTATAAACATGCACGGTGCAGTGTCACTTAGTATTCACCCTAGCTGGTGATGGAGGTGGGCAGTACTGATGTTTCCTTCCTTGTGGAGGTGAGGAGACAATGACTTACATTACACAGCCTGTCCCAAGTGAGAAATGGTGGGGACCATGTTCTAACCCAGTGTACCCATCTAGAGACTCAGGAAGATTCTACAAGTAAGATTTTTCTTCTAGGTCAGGCCACAAGCATTAATTTAAAACTCTCCTGGTTCCTCACCAGAGACATGATATTTTACATAGAAATAACTGACAGCTTCTACTCATAGGATGTTTTCTTCCCAAAGAACATACTGGAACAGATGGAGACAATTATTGAAATACATTTGCTTTCAGGTAAAAGGAATTAGGAGTATATTATATAAATCCAGGCTAGAGGAAAAATTAGTAGGTAGAGACAAGTTCTTTTTAATCCAAAAGCAACTTGTGGGTAAAGTTCACAGAGTCCTTCTAAAAGTGAGCTAGGTCTGAAAACTTTACTCATTAAGTTCATTGACTTTTTGACCAGTTGTTTAATGAAAACCTTTAAGTTCTCTCAACCATTGACATAATAGCTGACTCAAATGTATTGAGTTCCTTATTTTGGCTGTGTTCGTGCTAGTCTTTCAGAAACTTTCAGGGTGCTAAAAGCTATCTTCTTCTTTTATATCTTTCTTCAAGAACTTGACAGCCCTGCCAACCTGGTGACTGACCGGGTGACAGAGAACACCGCCAGTGTCTCCTGGGATCCAGTGGAGGCTGACATTGACAGGTATGTGGTGAGCTACACCTCTGTCGACGGCGAGACCAGGGAGGTTCCAGTGGACAAGGAGAAGAGCAGCACCATCCTCACAGGCCTGAGGCCAGGCGTGGAGTACAAAGTCTACGTGTGGGCTCAGAAAGGGGATAGAGAAAGCAAGAAGGCCAATACCAAGGCTCCCACAGGTAACTAGACAGAGATGGTTAACTGGAATTGAATTTTGAGCTTGGGGATTGTGTATAGGATATCAAAGGCCTAAATGTTTTGGTCTGTCGTGTGGCTTGAACTCAGGGCCTGGTGCTGTCCCTGAACTCTTTTGCTCAAGGCTAGTGCTCTACCTCTTTGTGCCACAGCGCCACTTCTGGTTTTTTGGTGGTTTGTTGGGGATAAGAATCTCACAGACTTTTCTGCCTGGGTTGGCTTTGAACTGAGATGCTCAGATCTCAGCCTCCTGAGTAGCTAGGATTACCGGCATGAGCCACCGGTGGTTGGCTTGCAGTTAGAATCTTAATGAGGTGAGACTGCCAGTGAGCTTTAGGAATGACCTCAGTGGGATATTCCTCCCTTGACAGCCGCGAGCTGCTCATGAAATCACTTGTTCTCCAGAGGGAGAATATGGGTATGGGTACAGTGTTTTTAGCAGGCTCAGCTGAGATGTGTTTAGGAACTGGTTGGGCATTATTTGTGATAATCCTTCTAGAGTGTTGCCAATAAATAACTTTTGGTAAAATGGCAAATTACTTACTTAACTGACATCAGAGCAGATATGCAATTGATAGTCTTGATATGCCACGTGCTTCTAAGAAGACACTTTAGGGAGGTGAAAGCCATGAATTGTAACAGTGAAGTTGTGGCACTGGGGTAGTGGGCGTGGCTCGCACTGTCAGAGCTTAGGATTTCCCAAACATTTTCTTTTCAGATATTGACAGTCCCAAAAACTTGGTGACTGACCGGGTGACAGAGAATACGATCAGTGTCTCCTGGGAGCCTGTGCAGGCCAGCATCGACAGGTATGTGGTGAGCTACACCTCTGCTGATGGAGAAACAAAGGAGGTTCCAGTGGGGAAAGAGAAGACCAGCACCATCCTGACAGGCCTGAGGCCAGGCATGGAGTACAAGGTCCATGTGTGGGCCCAGAAAGGGACCCAGGAGAGCAGGAAGGCCAATACCAAGGCCCCCACAGGTAACAGAGCATGCGCTATTACTTCACCATTGCTAAGCTTATGGTCTGTCTAGGTGAGTTTTTCTGATTTTGACCTCGACGGACAAAGATACTTTGTTTACCAGAGACCTCCATAAAAATCATGTACCCCTCACTTCCTTTGAATAGTTTCTCTTAGAGTTCATATCTCATAATGTGGTATCCAAGTTTGATCGACGGTGATTGCTTCTAGTCCCCCATTCTTCTTCTGTCTCATGATTGTGAAGACACTGAAATTTTCACCTGGGTAAAGAATAAATAGGATGAAAACACAAGCAGCTATTAGACTGAGAGAGTCAGACTGGTGGATTGTATTCCCAAATTAATCTTTGTTTGTTTGTATTTCGTTTTGCTTTTAAACTGCTCACCAGTTTAAGCCATTCCTATGAAGCTTGTGCTTGCTTCTGCCTTTTGGCTGGATTTTTTAGACAGAAATAATTGCAGTGTTTTGTCAGCTAAAATTAAGCCAGGATCTAGTTCCCCAAATGCCAATTTTTTAAGTAACAAAAATGTCTATTTCTAGGTAGGAGCCCCCCTTCATTTACAGTTGTCCATTTGCATGCCAGCTGCCTGCTGTGGGAAGGGAACTCAGGCCTCTTGGGCCTTCCTCTTTGTACTTTAAGCACCAATCTTCCAGCTTGCTAAGTGCAATGTTGGATGCATTAGTGTTTGGCACATCTGGGAAACACACACTGAGGAGTGGCTAGACTCAAGCAGAGGAGAGATGTGAGGAGAAGCCTGGTGTCCCGAGGAAAGAGTTTGAGGGATCAGAAGGGAATAGGGGTAGGTGAAAGGTCAAGATGGAGGAAAATCCACGAGTCAGAAGAGAAGAGTAGTCAGGGATTAAAGGCAGACAGGCCAAGAATCATGGAAAGCCTTCCTTGACTTTAGCATGGCCTGTCATGGGGCCTGATGAATGTTCGAGCTGGCTCTTCTTTTGGAGCACTTTTGTGCTTATTTCCCACTGGGAATCTCTCACTGCACTCACCTTGTGGGCAAATGCTTGGTCTCTTGTTCTTCTTCTATCCAGAGGACACCAGAGGGTGTGCTCCAGCACCACTAATGGAGTTACTAGGTGATTCTAGGTAGGACAACCCTAGATTCTTCTGTGCTTGGCCCACATCTAGTCCATGCAGAACAGACATGCCTCCTTTGTCCATTCAGTGGGTGGCTGTACTGGCTTTTTTCAGTGCTGTAGCTTCTCTTGCTTGGCACCAAACAACCAGCTTTTCTGTCAACCCTTAGATATTTGAGTCATGTGTTTAAAAAAACAACAACAAACCAACCTTCAGTGTTCCCTACCCTTTAGAAGGGATTTCTCCACCTTTTCACTGTTGACATGTTGAGTAGGACAATTTATTTGTTGCCCAGGTATAGCTTGGGTCATGTAGGATGTTCAGCAACATCCTTGGTGTCTACCCATTAGATGCCAGTAAGCTCCCACCTTTCACTGACATTGCTAATCACCCCCTTGAGATTTCTTTTCTACTCTGTACACCACAAATTCTGTACAGGATCCTACTAAAATCGCTTATTTAAGGATTGGGTCCTGCTTCTAGGATTCACAGTGTAGCTCTGTTCAAATAATTCCAACTCACTGACCTCTCTAACGGCTGTCTCTTTCTCTCTCTCCCTCTGTGAAGTATTACTACGTGCTTTATTTTTTCCTTTGCCATTCAGCCAAGCAGTTTATGAGCACAATGCATCTTGATCAATGTCACCCCTTTCAGCATTCTCACTCATCCCTCCCAACCCACCCCTTCCCTCACTCTTCTTAGTTTTATAGACTGGAGATGGTTGGTTAGCCACAGAGTCTTAGAACTGTTGAGCCAGCCTTGGTGGTGGGCCAGGGGTTGGAATATAGATACCAAGCTTCCTGGAGTCAAAGCCTAAATGAACATATATAAAAGGACCTTTGAGCAAATAATTTTAGGGAAATGAGTTTTGCAAGAAATATTTAGATTTAAGAAGCGATACTATTTTTCTTCGTGCAATACCATTTTGGTAACCTTGGGTGTGTGTAGTAGAGTGAAGCATCAAACTGATAGCTTTGCTGAAAAGAGTTCATAGTCACTGGGCATGGCTGAGAATAGTCATAAGAGACACGCTATTCATTTGTAGACTACAACAACTCTATAAGATATAAATTGGTAATGTCTTCCCGTTTTGTATATCTTCCCTCTAGGGAAGAAATTGAGGTATAGAAGATGGTTTACTCTTTATTGCATTTTGAATTACAGAGTGGCTATTCTTTGGCTTCAGAGATGGTTTACTCTTTATTGCATTTTGAATTACAGAGTGGCTATTCTTTGGCTTCAGAGATG